CCGTGCTGTTGCTCTACCAATTGAGCTGCCGAGTCCTACACCTCATCGTCGCATTTTTTCAACTTATTGATACATGTACCTCTCGCGCAATTAATCTCTAAGTTGATAGTACCAGATCCCAAATTATGGGCGTAGAACAAACGAGAAGAACTGGCAAGAACTACAAGCTTTCTTAGAGCAGGTATATATATCTAAGCATTTATATCAATTTCAAATAACGTGTTAATAATATGCCCCGTATTTCCGTTGCCATTAAAATAATAACATAATAAAAAACAAAATTTCCTAATAATAAAACAGACTATAGCTGTTTATTAAATTTTATCCCTGGCTTTAGGAAAGATAAAAATTCTGCAACAACCAAATATAAGTACAGCTATGAAACTTTTATTTGAGAATCTACGAAATTAATTTCTAGCTGAAGTTTCGTAATAGTGCTCTGTAAACGTTTGTTTTCCTTTGTTGAGTCTAAGTTAAGAAAAAATGGCAAAGAAAAAGTTAACAACCTTCTTACCTCCACCGGCTTCCTACTTCAAGTGCAATGCAGTGAATATTTATTTTAATTTTATCATGAGAACTAAAAAAACATATCGTCTAACGTAGAACGTATACTTGTTATGTACATAGCGGATATATAACAAGTTTTAAATTTATTTATAAAGATATAGTACATAAATTTTTGGATAAGATTTTGTAAATGTAAAAGACTTTTCGCGGTATAGGCGTTAGTTGTTGGGCAATATTGTAGTCATTAGTACTAATTCTCAGACCATCAAATTAAAAATTACATATCAACGTTGTAAAGAAATTTAATGGTCGTAGAAGATATAGACGGCATCGTTGATATAATGATAACTAAATATAATAATCAACGAGTCGTGGGTTAAGTCCCTACCGGTTCCATTACGTTTTCTGAGATATGTTGAACATTATCTGGAAATCAGGATATTATATGGGTGGTAGGACACACAGACGAAAAGGCCATCAAGTCTAATCGCGTTTTGGTACCTTTTTTGAATGTCCAACCATCTAAAAGCCAAAACAATTCGACAGCGCATCGTTTTTAGATGTTATATGGCCGGGGTGTTTTACCTACCGTCATGAATCCCATGCTTATATGTCCCCTTCTATCGTCACAAAGATACGATTAGGTTTGAAGAGAAATTGTATGACGCCATTGTTTTGTATCAACGTTTTAATAACTATATATCTATTAGGTTAAATATCAACTTCAAAAAGTGTCTAACCAGAACATATTCCGTCCCTTATCAGCTGAGCCGGCCCACTTGTATTTGCAAAGGACACATTTGAAGCTATTCAAAATCCCTAATGTCACCCGTTTTACCCGCATTCAATCTGCAAATAGACAAAATTAATCTTTTGATCCTATCCCTCGAGGTAATTGTACTATTTTACTAGTTTAACAAGTGTGAATAATAAGAGTATAACTGGGTATTATATTACATTTATTTTTATTTTACCTTAATACTGTTATACCAAACATACTTTTGCTAGGTGTTACCCACGACGTAGACCGCGTCCGTCGTTAATTCGAGTTAGTTTAAAAGATAAACATATATTGTCGTATAACTTTTTCATATTATTTAAAGAGAAATCATTCTGAAGCACATTTTTTTACGGGTGTAGAGGCCATAGACATGAACGATTTCCCCGTTTTTTCCACATTTACTATTGTTTCTTCGCTCCTATTAATCACAGCGTAATGTTGTTAATAGGAGCGGTTATATTATTGTTATATAAATAGCCTTCTTCGATAAATAGCCAATCCAAAATAAAAAGTATTTTACAATAACAAAACCAGTAGTTTCTGAGATTAGTGCGTTCAAATATACAAACCTTTCAGCTTTCTAAAATTGGTATAGATATAACTATGACAGGCGGGATTCGAACCCACGACCAAAAGCGTAATATAGCGTCGCATTGAGCTGCCATCTCAAAGTCGAGATTACATTGGACGAGATGTAGGATATAAACATTTAAAAAATCGATATGTGTATTTTATATTTAACGAAAACTAACTTACGAAAACTCTTATTTTTCTCAATATTACGCTAATTATTCCTAATTCGAAATTATAAGACAGTCCTAGTCGTATTTAAATACGCTATTCCTGGTTTAAACTTCATTCTAACATTTCAATAAAACAAAAACGGTTTAAAACGTGATATATTTTAGTTTAACTTGTTTGAAAATGATTTTTAAACCGTTAAAGTGTTTTATTTAAATGCTATGCGCGTAAAGTACAGACAGTATTTGATCTAACATGTATCAATTTAGAATTATTCGACAATATTTACGGCTTCCCAATTTAGTACATAACAAATGAGCAAATCGCTTTGAAGTTACACTTAGATTTAGCTTCGGATCTTAGATAATCAGCACCGTTGTTCAGATGTTAATTAACGTCTGGTTGTAATAAAGGCTAGCTTTGTTTGTCCACGTCAAATGTATAGACATAAGTGAACATTACAACGTTGAGGTTTAACAATCAAGTTCATGTATATACAGTAAGATTATGTCATCTAGGTCAATATTGTGTTTACCTTTACTTAAATAGTAAATAGTTGTTGAAATCTGCACCATTTAAATTTATATTATTTAGGCTGCCAATCTATGTTGTTTGTGCTACTGTGCCGCAACACTCTCACCTCACATCACTCTACTCTAATTCCCGCTCTCATTCCTACACTCACTTCCACGATTACTCCCACTCCCACTCCTATTCCCAAAAAGCCAAAGAAGAAAGTTTCATTGTTCTATCTTCAAAAACCACGAATTTCCATACAAACTTTCATCCCCTTTTTCAACTCCTATCAAGCCTTTTTGGCATTAAAGTAGCCTATTTCCTTTTTTAAGCTGTAAAATATCGGTGTACTAAATTTCATTTAAATCAGTTCAGTAGTTTCGGAGTTAAAGCCGGACAAACAAACAGAGTTACTTTCGCATTTATAATATTAGTATAGATTATATTAAACTTCATAGTTGTACCTATAAATCCTACATGATTTTCACTTATATGGTACCAAAATTATGTTTAATTTAGCGGTCATTGGTCTAATGGTAGCAAAGTATGGCTAATAATCAAATGGTATTGGATTCGACTTCCCAACGTTTGCAACGTATTTCTAGGCAATTTATAATTTTTGTGACTACGTCTGGAAATACGTGGTAGGAATATCGAATTTTTTTCCGGGTCTCAATCCACCGTCCACAGATGAAAAAAACGTGAAGAAGCGGGTTTCGGATGCAGTCTGTGGATTAACCAAATACTAAAAGGTAATATGGGTCGATAGCGCATCTCGGTTGGCTGTTATGTGACTTAGTTATTTCACCATCCATCGAATGAACCTCGCGCCTGTCTGTCCGCTTCTATAATAAAAAATGCTATTTGTGTAGCCCGGGTTTTAAACTTGAGGAGCTTTGCTTCTTCTGGGCGATCTTAATTAAGTACTAGCCTTCCCATCTCCCCAACAAAGAAATATCACGATTATGTTATTGATACAGTATCTACATTAATATAAGAAAAACACACGACTATAAACAATATTAATTTAATAATTATAACTCTGTGGGAATATGAACTATCTTCGGGTTATGTACAGGAGTATTACGTTGAACGCTAATATCCAAGCCGTTGTTTTGTATGTTTGTGAATCTGAAAGAAGAGAAAAATATTCAACATACATAATATGATAATACATTCATTTGGTACACAAGAAGAATACAGATTAAATATCCTAATTTGTATTAAAACAGTATATTTATTAGTAATAGACCCAATATATATATGACTAAATAACTATATATAATAAATAAATAACTACATACATTATTAGTAAAAGAAACCAGATAGAAAACGGAGACTACGTAAAAGAATGTCTGAAAGAGTAGCGATAGAGATTTCTTTATATACACGCGGTTCAAATTTAAAGTTCCGCGTAAAGATTATTTTTCTAACGATAAATTCTCGGTATTGATACAAAACACATCATACACAATGGCTTCTCAACATTTCCACGTAATCCAGTCTTATAAAATATACGATAAAAATATATGTCAAATAAAGATAAGTATAGGATTCTTCACTACACCTTTCAATACACCTATTAATTGAATAATATACAAAAAAAGTTAAGGCGCAAATTAAACATTGTGAAAGTATAAAAAAGTGAAACCCCGTTTCCCCTCGTAGGGCATGGGGCGAACACATTTCTTTATCGGTTTTATTTACAGGCCAATAGTTGATCAGACTTCGGTGCCCTGTCCAAACAAAACAATTTATTGTTTACCCAGGATTCGAACATAGGACCGCGCTTATCCAAAAGCTAGGCAACACGTATAAACATTTAGCTACAGAGGCCTTCGCCTCTCGATGAATGTATATGTTACTTATTGATAAATTTATATCCAAGAAAAGCCAAGTTTTAAATTACCAAATAAACGTTATAAAAGTGTATGAATACAGACTCACTCGAAATAATGAAACGAAACATTGAAAGTGAAAAGTCATTTGGCTAACGTCCAAATTATGAAAAAATGTTTTCAGTTTAGCCCTTGATAACACCTCCATTAATCTTCATAAAATATTCAAATTCATTTTTTGTTGTGACTACGGATCGTCTTTTTTTTTGTTCGGTTGGAAAAACTAAAAGATATCGCATAGAAAGAAATACTAAGCAATATAACGGTTTTATGACATTAAAAATTATATTCTGTTATATCATTTCAAATAAACTAAAATTTACTCAAGTAGTACACATTTATTTAAAACACTTTTACCCCATTAAAACGAGAAATATAGGAACTAAATTACGTTTTATTTAATTTAACTACAGGCTCATTACAATAAATTATAGTAGGTATATAGAACGGAAGTAGTAACTTGATAAGCATAATGCAGAAGGAGTTCTGAATTCGAATCTTGGAGTGACATTTATGGCAGTTAGGTAAAACATAAAAACTTATTTGGTAAAAATATACTAACCACATCCACCGATCACAGGCTTATTCACGCTAACCATTTCATTATCTTTAAGAAAAATATAATTCGCTTTGAATCCTGTGCCGTCCAGCCGGTCGTTAGACCTAAAGGTTATCCGCATGAAGTTCTTCTTCGAAGCCACCTTTAACTCCTTTAATTGTCCACAGTGCCTGGTACCGCGGGAATTGACGACATTGGAGATCTGGACGTAGTCGCTCGCTGAGACTGCTTCACATCTAGATTAAGAGTTTAGATTGTTGTTTCTAGTTAACAGAGGCAATCAAAACAATGAGTGTATACACCAATAAAAATACATTTTTTTTCCTGTAAAAAAAGCCATGTTTTTGCAAGCTACCCTCGTTAAAAAAATACATATACATTTGTTTGTGATTCCTACAAATTTGTTATAATTCTATGCCTTTTGTAAGGCTTTCACGCCCATCGTTTAGCTTATCATTGTTTACCGGGCTGTTCGGCCGACGTGAGTGAGAAGAGCTTCTCGAGGAGCTAACATCTCCGAATGATGTTGGTCACTCGTGATATCGAAACGCCGAGAACGTCTTCTCGCTCACAGCGCCCCAACAGCCCGAAAAATCATGATATCTTTTTATAATTCAATTTAAAACTGTTTTATCATGTATTCCTTTTTATATTAATAATCGATTCAAAGTTAAGTGTATGTAACATTTTGCTAAGACGCAAAACTAACATATTTAAGTCTGTAGTTTACGCGAGTAACAAAACATTTGATTGAAATACTTTAACGGTTTAAAACATGTATTATATTTCTATATATTAAAGCATCCGAAACGTGGCCCTTAGCATAAATAAATCAAAAGTAAGTTTTTATTTTGTTTAAATAAGAAAAATATGTTTTAAATCAAAATCTCTTTAGATTAAAAATCTAATCTAATAACGTACTTAAAGAAATAACTTACGGATGGACGCCCTCTACGTCGAAATGCGTAAAATGCAAGTGGACCCTCTGATCCTTACTGCCGTGGAAGAAGTAATTGCACTCAGTATCCCGCGGGTACAGCCCTGGATGGTTCGGTGACGTCACGACGCCCCTGGCGCGACTACTGCTGTTATATACGAAGGCACACGGAAACTCCAATAGTTGCTTCCCGGTCGCGATACCGTAATCTGAAATTTATGGGTCGGCTAAAAATTGTTTCGCAATTTCGTTTTAATTTAACCCTTTTTGCGCTTAAACAAGTTCGCAGCGGACGAGATTGTTTTTATTGAATTGTATTCTGTGAATATTGGGTGGGCATAAATTATATTTATCGCTAGATATCAGGTTATGATTGAAAATTTGACTGGGGAAATGTGCTTTACCAATTCTTAAATAATTAAAATTATAGTATATAAACAGCAAAGCAGAAAACAGTAAATAAAGCCACAAAAAAAGCTAATATTGTATTCTACCAAAATAATCTATTTTTCTATGATAGAGGAGAACAGACGAGCATGGGAGTTCAATTGATGGTAGAAATACCCCAGGCCTATAATATCTAAACAAGATCCGCTGTCGATGTATTTTGGCTTTGGATATTAGGAAACCCACATTCTGAAACCGAAACGCAGTTAAACTTCACGTTTTCATCAGTGGACGGTGGTTTAATTTGAAATATGTTGGACCCGGTGTCGGTATGCAAAGCGCTCCGTGCTGTAACCTAGAGTTCCCGTCTCCTACACATCATCGTCGAATTTTTTCAACCTATTGAATTCTTATACACTTATATTTTTTGGGACATACTACCTTCAACGAAGTTGTAGGATATCTTAAACCCCCTGCTGTAGCGTGACGAGTAAACTCCTCGGAATTCCACGACTAACTTGGGCCCGTTGGACATTATAGCGTTAGGTACATCTTCGCCGCAGAACGACGCCATTTTCTCTAATCTCCCGTCCACGTCCAGAAACACGTCCAGCGAATCCATGCTTTCGCAGCTGTAATATTGTTTGTAAAGTGTTTTATTAAGCTTACTACCCATGTACACTGTACACGACAGGTTTACTACGAGAACGCACTAACTCCATGTACACTGATTTAAATTAAGAATTGTTACAATAGTATTGTATACGAAAATTATCGCAAAATATTTCATACCATAAAGCTAAGCAAATTATGCTAAAATATTGTTTTTATTTATTTACACTTTATTGCACAAAAATATAACATATACATTAGTATATAACTCTCTTATATACTAGAAATATGGAGTGCAATGGGCGACCTTATCGCTAACAACGATCTTTTCCAGGCTACCCAAATCTTTACTCATTTAATTACAGTTAATGTTAGCCAGAAGTACATATTATTATATAATAACCATATTGCTAAATTAGCTCTTATTCTGTTCGTGTAATTGTAACGTTTTGTAACTCCTGCATTCACAACCCAAAGGGTTTACATATTTGATTTGTCCGTTTTTCACGGCTACTCAACCGTCCCCAATCACAGGGAATAAACTTTATCATATTTCTCCACTTTTATACTATACAAATGGGTGTATTGCGTGAACAATTTAATAAAGCACAAATGAAGTAGACTATTGAAGCGGTGCCGACGCCAATAAAAAACGAAAATTTTTCGTGGAAAACACAATAGGCATTTTGTCCAGTCATTAGTGTTCATTTGGGACAAGTTCCACGCCCACTTACCTCAAGTGCCGCAAAAATACTCACTAAATACTTATTTTTTGTACATTACGACCACGTGTTGTTTTGACGGGTTAAATGGATAATAATGACCGGGCTTGATGACGTAAAAAATATGAAAATATTTTATTTATTTCCAATTGGAATGGACCGGTTTTTTGTTGCAACTTTAATATCTTTTATAATATAATAAACATATTTTATAATTTAATTTCTTAAAAGCATTTTCGGAAATTGATAATACTAACGATGTGAATTTATTACACACTTAATATTATAAATGCGAAAGTAACTCTGTCTGTCTGTCTGTTACTCTTTCACGCCAAAACTACTGAACACATTTGAATGAAATTTGGTACACTGATGGTCTAGACCTTGAGAAAGGACATATACTTTTAAATGCGAAAATGGGGTTGTATGGGGTTAAAAGGGGGGGTGAAAGTTTGTATGGAAATTCGTGGTTTTTGAAGCTAGAACAATGAAACTTTTTTCTTTGGCTTTTTGGGAATGGGAGTGGGAGTGGGAGTGAGGGTGGGAGTTAGAGTAGAAGTGATGTGAGGTGAGTGTTGCGGCTAAGTAGCACTTACAACATTGATTGGCTGCGATAAATGCGCAATTACATTAATTAATAAACAGCCTAAATAATTAAAAATTCTACCCCAAGTCACTTTTCCACGCGAACGAAGTCGCGGGCACAGCTAGTAATAAATAAAACTGATACAAACTTTTTATAACAATACTTCATGAGTAAATGTTTATTTGTGACTCAAAGTATAAAAGTTCCAATATAAAATAACGTCGTTAATGAAGGAAGTGCCAACATTTACTCCAATTAAGAAGAGGTTCGCACTTACATTTTTATTAAAGAAATCTTACGTCATTTCAAATTGACTCACTCAATAATGTTCCCAGTGACCCTTTGCAGGCTGAAGTCTTCGAACACCAATCTAACCCTCTGTCTGCCGCGCGCCAAAAAATCATAATGACAGTGCGTCTTTGGCGGATACGGCGCTGGGTATAAAGGAGAGATCAATTTGCCGCTAGTACTCTTATCCGATCTGAATACTTGATGGCACGATGATGCTGAAACGTTACGTCGTTTCGGTAATGGTATTTTTATGCGATGCGAAGATTAGACGACTATATTTTGTATGGAGACGGATAAAAACTGGTTGCGGAAGATAAGAGAAAATGACCGGAAACGGTAAAGAAAATATACTTGTTCTATCACATATAAAGTAATCACTTATCTTGTTGTGAACTGTATAGTTCTGACAATATTACACAATTTTACGAGGTCCTTTATAAGTTTGATCAACAGGAACACGTAAAATAATTAAATGTATACCAACTGTCCGTATTTCACGCGAGTAGTGAATATTTAAATAAAACACTTTACCGAATTAAAACGCGATATATATTAGATACACTTATTTGAAAATTATTTTAAGTTTAACCCGACGTTTCGGATGCTTTGCAGCAGCCGTAGTCACATGATCTCAGCCGTGTTACAAGCGTTAGTGTTTTATTTAAATATGCATACCTAACAACAAAATATTATACGGAAATAGCTGAGGTGTTTTATTAGACTTAGCTTAATACTTTGTTTAATATAGTGAAGAACGTATTCATAATGATTATAAGTACTTACTAGCTGCACTAACAGCTGGACCCACCGATGTTCCTTCAGATGTTTTTTCAACATCTGAAATAGAATTTACATTTTAATACAAATTTTAATGTAGACTAAATGCCATAACTTAAAGACATATTGACTTAAGAATTGACATCTAAAACACACATTTGCATGCTTACTAAACCTTCAATAGAGTTATCGTCCGGTAAGAACTGGTATCTCGCCTTGAATCCCTGACCAGGCGTCTTGGACCTGGCTATAAATTCCACCAATAAGTCTGGGCCCGTCGATAAAATTTCATAACCTAAAAAATAAGAGGTCTCATTTTTTCACATTCAGTAACTCAGCGATTTCTCTCAATTACATTTGTCGTGAAACGCAATTATTTTTTAACTCAATTCGACATGGTAGCTTTAAGATAAATTAACAAAGCTAAAGAGATAACTTATGTAATAAATAAGGCATAGTTAGAGTATCATTAAAAAATAGTAAAGCTTTTGTTATACTAGGTAAGAATGATACAAAAATAGTAGAAGAAAAATAAAAATTTTAAATTAATCTTTGTGGATTATTTTGATAAATAAGATTATATTTTTAAACAGCTTTTGAAGTAATTAAAACCGTGTTTTAACATTGTTGGTTTTGAAAATGTCGCCAAAACGTCGTAGAGTGTGTCGTCATATGTGATCATATGCCCACGAATGACGTCACCGAGTGTTTTTCATTGGTGTTGCAGTAAAAATAAATAATAACTGACAACATTTTATTTAAATAAAACACTTTAACGGTTTAAAACACGATATATTAGTTAAACTTAAGCGGGCTGCTGCAAAGCATCCGAAACGTCGTGACAAATAAGTTTAACTAATATATCGCGTTTTAAACCGTTAAAGTGTTTTATTTAAATGTGTACTACTCGCGTAAACTATAGACAGTATTTAACATTTTATTTTTTAATTTAAAATTTTTAATTACAATTCATTAGATAGATAATCAAAGAATTGCATATGTTCTGCTTACTCTACGAGCCCTAATATTGTAGTATACATTTTCGCTAAATTAAATGTTATCGAAATAGTTATTATATAAAGCAAAGACATTCATTATCTGCTAAGTACTTTACGTCTTAATAAAGGCCTTTGTAAGGCTCCTCTATAAAGCAGCTCAAGATATTTCTATAGAAATTGATGCCAGATTGAATTTGATATTAAGTAATTTAAAGTATCTATAATATTCTAATATAGATGGCTTAAGTACACTTTATGTAAGGTATTAAAAATATAATTGCTTGTTATCACGTAGCTAAATGTTGAATTCTTAAAATGATAATGTAGTTTAAAAATAAGGTATGTGAGAGTATCAAAGTGCAGAACCAGTTTTTGTTTTGTTTCCTCTAGTAATTATTGCACGATACTTTTAATAATAATCACTGAAATGCGTGCCAATGTAGTTTTCAGTAAAGGAAGATTTTGACATTAGATACCCCTTCAAACTTTAGACATAAGTCACCCTTGACAACAGCTGTTCCAATAGTAAATAATATCTTATGGGTTTTAAACAGTTAAAAATGTTTTATTTTTATAATTAATTTGTAAATAACATACCTACAATCTCATTGCAAAGCATCGCAATGACCGGTGCACTCGAAACTTTCCCATCAAAAACTTTAATTGTATCTGCGCGGTTGAGGCAACTAAAAGATAAAGTTTTGTAAATTTGAGATGACATTTTCAATATTTAAATGCATGAAATCCCAAGTTTTAATTAATTCTGAGGAACTATGAAAATACACAGTTACTATTCCACTAAATGTAATTGAATGAACTATTGGTTTTATTGTTAACTAGCTGTGTCAGCGATATCGTATGCTCGCGACTTAGTCCGCGTAGAATACTCATTTTGGGCACCCACATTTGTTTTTGCGAACCTCTACATCATTATAAATTGTAGGCAGCTTCCACGACATTGGTCGTTCTTGCAAGTTAATCTTAGAAGATAGACATTTAGTGCCGTGGACATGTTTTTAGAACAATTTAAAGAGAAAGAATACCCCTTATACTTATTTTTGGGTATCTTAATCGGTTTCACTGCATTGGAAACCCAAAAAGATAAATTATTTCCCCCGTTTTTCCAAAACAAACAGATTCAGCGCGTTTTAACAAACAAACAAACTTCAGCTTTATATATTAGAATAGATTAATATTTTAAATTATAAAGCTAAAATAATATTTGACTAATATGTACCTTTCATCGCTTTTCTGTAAAAATGATTCCTCGAAAACTATCTTTACTCTTTCGTTCTTCCTGCAAGAATGGATGATAAATCTACATTATTTCCAGCATATTTTATCAAGGTGTTAGTGGCATGATTTACACCGAGTCCCATCAATTTACTAGGAAACCTTCGAGAAGCTAACGTAGGAAACACCTGTTCGGTTATTTGTGGACACGTTCAAAAATATATATGCCATATTATGAGCTACGTGTTATAAATGCCAAAATATTTTGTGTTGTTAGAAGCGATAAAATTCAAGCTCAAAGTCAAAGATTTTTGGCACACGGTTATTTGAGTGTAACAGAGGCTTGTCCTATAACAGACCACTAATTCTTTAAGATAAGCACATATTCTTGACATCTTGTCAAGTTGATTATTTTATTTATTTATTTAATTCTTTATTGCAACGCACAAAGCACACAATATATTTCCTTAAAAAAAACGATTCCTTAAAGTTAAAACGATAAATTATTTTTACAAGTTATGGAGTGCAATGGACGGCCTTATCGCTTTAGAGCGATCTCTTCCAGGCAACCCTTAGTTGATTAGTTGGGTAAAATCTCCGGTTTTATAAAATAGATTATTTAACGACGACAGGCTCGTTGGTGCAATGTAAGGCTAATTATCAACGGGTCGTGGGTTCGTTCCCCACCGGGTCCAAAATTTGTATTTTAAATTTACATTTTTTCTGAAACGTCGTCTGGAAATTTAACGGGCGACAGGATCGCAATTCACGGATCAACGGGTCACGAATCGCCGTCACATAAAAAAACCTTGAAATTTGCTGCGTTTCAGTTTTAATCTATGAAGTTATATTCGAAGCTAAAATAGGCCCACAGCGCATTATTTAGGTGTGATATGGCTAAGGTATTTCACCTACCAAAAATGAACCCCATATTTCCCACCCCCCTCTATCGTATTAAAAAAAACCCGCATTCAGCGTAGTTACCTTGCATGAAAATGATAGTAACATTGCGTATTACTTGGATAACTCGACGGGTACCGAGGACTGTAAAATCTACCATGGCTAGGCTTATTTGAATGTGTATTGAAAACATAATCACAATCCGAGTCTGGAACTAAAACTCCGTTTGTTTCAAAGTTACCTGCAACAAAAACAATTAAGTTTAAATTAATATGAAGCCTCACAAAAGAGAGTAAATTAGAAAATGTAAACTCGACGCCAACTGCCAAAGTATTTGGAAGAACTCCGAGTAAATATTCACGAATTGAAACTAATTACATTTTTTCTTGCAGGCTTCAGAAATAATTAAGTGTCTTCGGCGAGGGCGAGATTTTAAATTTTTGTTAAATTACGCGATCATTGCATAACGGTTCATTTTTAAAGTTTCTAACTTATTTTTTTTTATATTATTAGCTTATATTTTACCAGAGATAAAAAATAAGCATTTTTTTGTCGTCAATATATATATATAAATAAATAATAAAGCTGAAGAGTTTTGTTTGTTTGTTTGAACGCGCTAATCTCTTTTTTTTGTTAGATGATTTTGAGAGAGCATTTATCGAGGAACGATATTAAACACTATTAAACATCTACTCTAGACTAACAAGAGCGAAGAAACAGCGGGAAGTGTGAATAAAACGGGGAAAAAAAATTATTCGTCTTTGTAGGTTTGAAGATACCTAAAAAAATTAATAAAAGAAATATTCCTTCTTAAATGACCTAAAAATATGTCCGCGACAGTTTATGTCTATCTTCGTCTTATATATCTGACGTCGTGTGCAACAGCAAAAATTTATAAAGATGAAGAGGTTTGCAAAAACAAATTGGGACGCCCAAAATAAACTATTCTACGCGGAGGAAGCCGCTGACACAACTAGTAAATGATAAACCGCTTAGATGTAGTTGAAAGCTTTACTTTATAAGTTTAAAAATAAGGAACTATTGAATATAACAACTTCTGTATCCGGAGTATATCTCGTTTGAAAATCGAATATCATTTTCGAATATAGAACGAAATACGACGTCCTGATATGGAAATCTTTAACTCTTTCCAAGAAATAGCGTTGCTCCATGGACAAAAATTCGTCTGATACACTGTCAGATAATATTTACATAACAAAGCTGAATAGTTTGTTTATTTCAACGTGCTCATTCTAATGACTGCCAGTAACTATTCAAATATTTATTTTACTATAAGACAGATAACTACTATCTGTCAACATTCGGGTATAAAAAAAGTCTTTCCACTCTAGAATAGAGTAGAATACGTTTATTTAGAAACATTTACCGTTAAAACTTAACCTAATAACAATAACAAGCAGTTAATACAAATTTAAATCAAATACTATTAAACTTAAATACTATAGTTGCCTCTGAAAATGAAGCCACTCAGCTACATTGGGGCTTTTTCCCCAATACTGATATTCTGTGGCCCCTTCAGAGGCAGAGTTAACGCAAGCGAGGCTGTTTGACATATTATATTAAACTTACACACTAACACTTATCAGAATTATACTTTCACGTAGAAATTATAATAGAATATAGTTTTATTAATAGGCACATACAATAGGGTAATAACCTTAGGATTTTATATACAAGTTCAAATTTAATAAATACACGTTGAAAAATACTCTCTCTTTTTATTTTATTAAATATGCAAGAGTATGTATATATCAAGGTTTCCAATAAACGGTTAAAATGTTTTACGTGGTTTATTGCTAATGGCATTAGAAGTAATTCAATCTATTTTTATAACTCTAGAAACAGCCCGAAATACTTACGTCTGTCTATGAATTTGTAAGTCCCAATAAATCCGGTAGAATTGGACTCTTTATCGCCGCTGTTTAGTTCTAACACTAGAGCAGAGTCGTGGGAGTATAAGGCTGGTGGAGCATCATTTCTATTACCGCATAGAACTCTTGACCATTTAGAGTACTCATTGACCCCGGGGGGTCCGGGACCATGTGCGCCAACTTCGGAATATACTTTTAGGTAGTCTCCTCTAGTGCAGCTGAAACAAAAATAAGTTTTCAGTAAAATTCTCAGTAATATTTTTCCGTTATTATTGCGTTACGTATTTTAATTAGCTTGGGAATTTTTACATTGGATCAAAACAAATCTCGTAGTTCTCCATCTATGTTTATTATTTGCTTTACATTTCGTAAAACAATTTTGAAATATTTTTTATTAGTCAAAATGTCTCAAAAGTCAAATCAATTAAAAGTTTACCTCTTGACGAACACGTTAAAGAAAACAGTATCTGACCTTCCTTTATTCTTGATATGAGGCCAACACATTTTTATAAGTCCAACAAATGTATGTTGTTGCAGAGAGCAAAAATTCTATTCCCTGAGGATAAACTATGTTTTACGGACGCTTCCCTCGTGAAAAATAAGTCACTGAAAGTTTAAGTGAGGCTCTATGTTCGTCGTCACCAAGAGATGCTATACTTTCTCATCGACACATTATATCTTACAATTCGGAAAGGAGATTAACATGGTCTCTTTCCTGTAGCCATACTTTCGACAAAGCTTAGTAGTAAATACATTTATATAAAACACTTTAACGGTTTAAAACGCGATATATGAGTTAAACTTATTTGAAAATGATTTTTAACTTCAGCGTGGCCACGTCTCCCCGTGACAGGGCTGCTGTAAAGCATCCGATCTGAATTCGAATATATCGCGTTTTAAACCGTTAAAGTGTTTTATTTAAAGCTTAGTAGTATTAGACGAATTTACATTAAAAAATTTGTTCTGTGTATTTATCCCATGGTAGAGGAGGACAAATAAGCATGAGGGTCACTTGATGGAAGGTGGAATACCGAAGCCATATATCTTTTTTGGCTTTGGATATTCGGAAATCCGCTGACTAAAACCGAAACACGATGACACGTCACGATGAACTTTCAGCAGTAAGCGGATGTTCGTGAGTCGGATGAAATTTCGATATTCTTAACACTTATTTACGATTATAGGCCATGACCCGTTATTAAATGTTGTTTTCATTAGACCAACGAGACCGTCACGTTTTACGTACATGGTGCAAATTACAAAAAAAAAATATGGCGGTTTAAAATGTGATGTATATAAATACGTTAATTTTGAATTACGACTCGAGGTGTCTGCTACTTAACATCAGAATTGTACTTTTAATGTAAATTTTATTGAACGCTATACATAACCTATCCTGTACATGTATAACAAAAACGATAATATTCAAATATTAAATGTGATCTTCAACATACCTACTACGCATTTTAATACTTAAATCAGCGTAACAATAAAATTTTATAAGAAATTCAGACCTACAGAGGGAATATGAAATGTCGAAAAAATACAGCCACAGATTGAATGTATAAAACTCACAGCCAGACGCTTTGAACTATAAATCGGAGCTCAAATTTTCAGGAAACAAACCGTTGCGGTCTGCAGCGCAATGTTACTACCTTTAAAGAAGACCAGATTACATATTAAAACAAAAAACATTTGCAAAAAAATGTGTATAGAATCCTAAATGTTCTTTATATGTTTCGAATATTATAACGTTAGTGAAGGTTTTACGACATATATACATACTAAGTAACTTATCCCATATAATCTATTTGTTGATTTACAAGTCCACCAACCGATGTTGTTTTGAAGAAGATAAATTTGCCATATTTTCATTATTTTGAAAATTTTAAGTACATTTAATGGTAATACAAATTTCTCATTTAAAAATGGTGGAAGATATTAACTATATAACGTAAATACAGTCATAAAATAAATCCATCGCCAATACATTTCTAATGACCCAACATTATACCTACTTATTGCATAAAAGTAGAGATTTAAAAAACCCTTACTAAATCCACTTAAAAATACAATCTAATAGTTCCTATCTTTCATAAACCAAATCTTATGTGATCGTAAAAATGAGATCTAGGACCCAGCATATTACTTCATATCGTTTCAAGTGATAGCATTATTTAGTTGGTTTTCTTCGGGGATAAATCGAATAAGCAGACCGTAAAATTGACATAATAATATCCTATCTAGACAGAAGCCAAGACTAATAGCGACGATTAATATTTGATACGAATCGGCTCCCAAGAGATATTTCAAATTCATACGAAATTACCGCAGACAAGACTAAAATAAGCGTAACTTAATTTCTCAGAATCTCATTCAAAGATGCAAGAAAATGTTCGTACTTTCTCGACGGGATCGTAATGCTAATCATCGGTTCGTAGGTTTGATCCTCACTTGGTCCAACAAATTTTCTGACACATGTTAGTCTTCGTCTAGAAAATATGCATATAAAATGGGTGGCGAAAATCCGTCGGAGTCTCAAATCACTATGCACAGATGGGTAAGCTGTAAAGTTCAACCGCTTTATGGTTTCTAGATTTAGTCGCTAGATTTTTCAATGCCTAAAGCCAAAATAGATCGACATCGTATTTTGTTTAGATGTTCTATGGCTGCCGTACCTTTTATATGATGAATACCATGCACAAAAAAATGTGGGAGTCAAATACATTAAATAAAAAACAATTTCAGATTGAATAAAAATTACGACACGGGCAGGATTTGAACCGGCATCCAGCGAGTACCGTGCTGTTGCTCTTACCAATAGAGCTACCGTTTCCGTCATTGTCGAATTGTTTCCAATCTACCTATCACGCAATGTAAGGTATTTTGCACATACTGATTGTTTAGTTTTAATAATAATAATAAAAGGTACTGAATACAGCACACTACTTTACACTTGTATAACTTAAGGGCATGAATATAATAAAAAGAAGAAAACGACAAAGCAGATATTTATGTTAAATAAGTTAAGTGTTTCAGAAATTGTTTTTTACTTATATTTTTATATATCTATAGAAACAAAGTGTATTAAATCAGTATTCAATTCAAGTTATAGAAGATTTACACGGAAAATATCTATAAATATCTTTATAGGTCATAAGTTTCATATAATTTTCCCAGCGTGCGCTTGGTTCTGTATATTTTAATGCATACGCGAGAACGCTGTGTTGATGTTTATTTTTCTGCGGAGTAACTTCTGACGTTGAATGGCCAACTTAAGGTGAAATAAAATTGTTTATTCGATATATTCCGAATAATTTTCTTGCTACACGTTTACTAAGAAGCAGCTTAAGATAAGTTAAAATAAGGAATACGTTTAATGTTTAATTATAGGCATATCTATTTAAGATTACACCAACCCCAGAATATTAGTTAAAAATATATTGCGTGATAGAGAAATTTTATAGTCATTTGTAGAGAAGTATATGGTGGCTAAATCTATACTATATAATGCTAAAGTGTTTGTTGGTTTGTTTGTTTAAAAGCGCTGATCTCAGAAACTACTCGTTTGAATTGAAAAAATATTTTTGTGTTGGGTAGAGCATTTATCGAGGAAGGCTATATTATACAAACGCGATGTGACTAAAAGGAGCGAAGAAACAACAGGTAATGTAAAAATACGGGGAAAATTATTCATTATTGGTTTCTGAGTCGTACGCTGCACGAACGGTTCAAGATACCCCAAAAATTTGTACAAAAGGATTAATCCTCTTTAAATGATCTAAAAAAAGTCTGCGTGGCTATGTCTCTATCTTTTCATATTTACTTGCAAAAACGACGTAAAGGGACGCGACCGACGTCGTGGGTAACAGTTGAGTTTATTAAGATGAAGGGATTTGCGGTATAACGATTCTCGCGGACGAAGTCACTGACACAGCTAGTTTGTAATAACACGGAACACACTGGTTGTGGATTCAGGTCCCGCTCGCGACTTTGTTTTCTTTTCAAGTGAAAAATATAATATTTCCAGGGAAATTATTATTTTCTTAAAAGAAAATAGCAATCAACGTCTCTACATATTTCTAAGTTATTATTGGTGGTTGGCGTTTCAAACGGTTAAAATGATTTATTTATGTAACAGAACATTGTACGTTTAATAGCTTTTATTGAAATGGACCAGTTACGTTTTAGACAAAGCTAAGCTAAATAAGCCTGCCTTCCAAAGTCCGTTAGTTGCAAAAAATATTCCAAATTAACTAGAACAGAAATTTTGTTCCACTTAAAAAAGCTTAGGTGTTTGTTCCGTATATTTTCAGCAAATTATTAAAGTTGCGCCAGGGACGGTTCGTAAAACACCATTTTATTAGACGACTCTGCGGTTCTCGTGACCCTTTTTTTACCATTTAGCCTAATTTAATGCAGATTGTATTTATAATAACAAGTATGTATTGTTTTTACGTGTGGAGTGCGGTAAATTGAATCGTTTTCGCTAATTATACAACCTTTGCATACAGTTTTAGCTACTTTATTTCTGAATTAAAAATCGATTATTAATTGAAAACATTAACGAATCGGGCAGAACCTCAGCGTTCTGTCTCTAACCAGTAGGATTCCGTAACTCAATTGGTTAGAGTAACAGGTGAGGATGCCGGTTCAAGTCCTGTTTGAGTCGTAAAGTTTTTCAATTTATTCATATAGTGCCATTATGTAAAGTTTTTATCCGCCAATGTCTTTAAGTGTTTATACTGTAACATAACTTCGCTCTAAGTCCAGTAATTATATCCGAATATCCAAAACCAAAATAGGCGTCGACAGCGCATTAGCCTTAATAAAATTTTATCGTTTTTGATAAAAATTATATAAGCCATAACAAACAAATTTTTTCATTCCATTCAATTATCAAATACCCATTAAAAATCTTATATAAAAGTAATTTTTAGATAAGCGAATCTGAAATGAATTCTATCTTAATGGCGATATTATCGCACGGCCAAAATTTTTCGCTATACTTCGATTCGAAATCTTATAAGTGCTTTGTACGTAAGTAATGGTAGGACGATAAAAACAGAATATTTCATATATTGGTTCTAGAATTATATTACTATAGCATATATGACAGACATAAGTACCAAATGTCTGTCAAATATGCTATAGTATGTTACGTGTCAGGGTGAAAGTAGCATATGTGTATGTATTGTCTGTAGTCTATGCGACTACTACGATTAAATAAAACACTAACACTCTTATTACAAAACAAGGACTAACTCTCAGACCTGGTTTATTTGAAATCCTTATTACAAAACGAAGTTTAACTTTTGTACTGGACTGACTATGGTACTAACTTAGATTCATTTAGACCATAGTTTAACAGTTAAACCAAGACTCCGCAGTTCTGGTTCAAGTATTTTTTTGTAATAAGGCCGTAACGGTTTATTCAACTACCTAGTTTGAAATAATTTTCCCTATGACCCGATATTTCGTACAATTTATTGCTGTTTATTAATATTTGTTTTATTAAGTCAAGTTTTATTGCCTAATAATGTTTTATTTGATGTCACTATACGGGTGTGTAGTAAATGAAATGTGACGTTAGCAAAATAACGTATTTCTATCGGTTTTAAACACAAAACATATATATTAGTTAACTGGCTTTTTCTTCCGTCTGACACGACTGCTACAAAGTGTCATTCGCAACGTCGGGTCATACTTAAAATATTTCAAAATCAATTTTAACGATATATTTCGCTTTTTGAACTATTAAAAGTCTCGTTTATATGTACAGTATTCCATACCTACAGACAATATATGTCTGCTATTTTCACCCTGACAGACAATATACATACGAGATGAACGCGACGCGGATGTACAATAGAATATATTAAACGTTATCTTAGGTTAAGAATCACTTTCCTACTTATAAACTAGATTTTAAAGCTTTAAAAATGTCCCATACTCAGCTAAATGTACATAGTTTACCAGTAAAGCAGTTTTAATCACCGTACAATGTACTATGTAAGCACCCTTTGTGCAATGAAACAGCGCAATTCTTCTTTCACGTAGGTTAGTACAATTTATGACCAACAATACCGTACCGGGACAGAGACAAACGACAAACAAATAAAAGATAGTTTGTGACCCATACTAGAGATATATAACGTACATTGTTTAATTAAAGTTGTGTTAAGATAACACAGTTATCTTGACAAGAATGTAGTAAACGTTTATATTGGTATAGTCAGTATGTCGAATGTCATCTGTTTTATCGCTATTTTTTATCGAATTTTGTTGAGTCGTTTCCCGTAAAAGTGTAGAAAATACAAACCATCTTTGCAGACATTCCCACTTATAGGGTAGACATATTATTATGTAGTACTTTGGTTTACAATTCTACTTTTTTAATAGAGAAGGTCAGACAAACATGGGGTAATCTTAATGGAAGATAAAATACCCCAGCCATATAACATCAATACTAGATGCGCTGTCGGCTTTTGTCTTTAGCAATTCGAGAATCCACAGACTGATGTCGAAAAGAGAACTTCACGGCTTTTTCATCAGTGGACGATTTATTTCGATATTTCACCCGTTTAACACGCAGATTTCCAGACGAAGTTCAACGTGTTTTAGAAAATTTATTAATAGTTTAGAACCATTTTGGACCCGGTGGGAATCGAATGCGATACCCGTTGATTATGTCGAATTGATTTTTCCTTGTGAGTTTTACATATATCTTCAGTAAAACTGGTAGGAGAGAGATATTGTGGTAACATTAACTTGGTTATTATACGATTTCTATCTGAAATTGGAATTTTCCCCTCAATACATCCAAGAAAGGTACAATTAAAACAGCCAATGGATATTACAAGAGAACGATTCCTGAATCGTGGATATTGAAAGGAAATGATCAGGAAGCAGCTTTAAATCTCGAAGACTTTAGCGTGGTTATTGATTATAATGATTAATACTAAACGTTTGAGCGTGCTTCATTTCCAACTCATTTCCGTTTGAGTAACAAGAATTAAAAGCGGTGTGCTATAACGAATTTTCTCTTGAATTTATTATTGGCTTATTACCCGCCTGATCGTAGTATTTTAAAATATGATTTAGTGAATATAGTATCATTTTGCGAGAAGGCTTAAGCGTTTCTGGGTCATCCTCATTTCCGAGTCGAGAAATCCATATTTTGCGTGAGCGTAGCCATGTTTGTGTTAGAAGATATATTTTTTTTACACTTTTTGTTGTGATGTACATTATTACTACAGGATTTTGTATTCATATATTTGACAAATTAGTCTTCGTAATTAATTATTTTGGTGAAACGTTTTTTTTCATTGTGTTGATCGTAAGAAGACTCAGGGTTAATGTAAACGGTAACGTGATAAGGCCTTTTAATCGGCCAGTAGATAAAAGTCAGCAAAGAGATTTTTTTTTATTATATTTAGATTTTTCAGACGAATTCGATGTTACAAAATTTTAAATTGATATTATTAGACCATTCGAGTCTGTGATACTTACATAAATTACTGCCAGACTGACCTCCTGTATCTATCCAGCAATCTTATAAAACTGTATCGAGTCAATTCTCATATTGACTTCTTTAATACCTATAATATGGCGCTTGCGACAAGCAATAACGATCCACGTAGACAAAGACACTTCGTTGCCAAATAAAGTTTATTGCGTCTAAAATTGTCGCCCTTAACATCGGTTTTATTGCTACAAATGTGACGAAATTGTAAATGGTGCATTATGTAGATTTAAGCACTCCGCTGGTTATATTCGTGTTAAACGTTGTGATGTTTCATGGAAATGAAAATTGGACGAACTGCAAACAAGTTTAAATCATTATGATTTTCGTTTAATTTTAATTACTACGATTGAATAAAGCATTGACGCTTTGCTGTATGTAAAAGCTGGTTATTGTTTGTAGTTACAACAAATGTTTTTTTTTTTTATGATAGAGGAGGACAGACAAACAGAGGTTCACTTGATGGTAGGTAAAATACCCCAGCCAAGTATCTAAACAAGTATTTTGACTTTGGATATTCGGAAATCCACATACTGAAACCGAAACGCGACTAAAATTGACGGCTTTTTCATTTGTGGACGATAGTTCGTCACCCAGACGAGATTTAAATAACCCTACCACCCATTAATGTTTAAACGAAATAGGACTAATACATTAGGAGTCCGAATTGTGGGGTCGTAGTTTGTTAAGACCAGTTTTACGCCGTTAAAAGCGTTTTATTTTAAATATAATATTGATTGAAATACATATTTGGAAGAATAGTGCATGTGAGGTGGAGAATAGAAAAGGCGCTTCGGCTATTCAGTAGTCGCTGGGAACTCTGTACTATTTCCAGAGCCTTCGTGTAAGTTCTTACCAAAGTGACAAAATATAGTTATGAGGTTTAGAAAAAAAACTTATATAACGATTTAATATAACTTACTCAAGATGTTCCTTGTAAATGTCAAAATCAGTGAAAACAAGTTCGACAATCTGATGGGGCTTCGCGAGGAAGGTGTAGAGGAGGCACAGAGCTCTTGGGTAAGGTCTCGGGTAGTCCGGACTGCTGAAGGTGCCATGCTCGACACCACCTCTTCCGCCAGAACTGAAGCGGATGCACGAACAACCTGAATTTAATAATATTATAACTATATAATATATTATGATGTAAGGTAAATTAAAACTACAGCATTACTCTATTAAAGTAAGAAAGTGAAACTAAGAACTTTAAACTACTTTTTGTTTTCTTTCTTGAGACACCGATAGAAGGTCAGGTGATCAGTCCACATCATTTGCTGATCATTCCACCCTCTGCCTTTGCGAGAGATTTTGAGTCATTCAACTGATTATATATAGTTCTTAAAGTGTGAACAGCGGGACCAGTTACCACTACTTAAGTATTAATAATGATGTTTTAATTGGCCCTTTGATTATAAAAAGTATTGCTACTTGTCTGTTAAGTGAATCTTAATATTAGTTTATAAAAGGACAATTACAGTATATAGAGACAATTTGTGTGGGACAAAGCGCTAGAGCACTCTCGTACTCTTAAGTGGGTCTCTCGTTGTCCCAGTATCCCAAGTGACCCAAATGTCTTCAAATGCAAGTCGTTATTCGAAGTTAAACTTCGGAGATTGCAATGCTTTGAGCACGGTTCAGGAGCGAGTCACATCTGCAGTAAACATGATGGACTTGTCTAATCTCTGAAGTAGATCTGATCCTTGACTTGCACCATTTAATACTCCTAGACTCGATATGTCTAAGATTGTCTATGTTTGTTCAAATTCAAAATCGTAAGAAACTGAGTATATCTATAAAGTATTACCATTTATTAAACGTATAACCATCGAATACAATAATTTTAAATAATGAAATAGGGTTATTCAAAATAAATAAAAAAATTGGCTTTTGATGGCAAAACCATCAAACGAAATCAATTCTCAAACTGAAATATTTATTTTGAAACCCTGCACCTCAATTAAACATATTATATTAAAAAAATATTTACTCCAATTATGAAATACGGCAGAAAACATAACTTTAGGACGGATATTTAATTGCTAACCTTAAATTTTTATTTTTATTTTTGTCCTCAGTGTTTTACCAACTAAAGACGACGGGGTCTCCTCTTCCTCGGATAGAAAGCATATAGTCGAAGAAAACATTATATAATACTGTATTTATTTAGGTGTAACGTAGTGTGTTTCAAGTTTATTGCAAATATCAAATATGTAACAACATCATCACAGATGAATCATAAATTATTATTAATTAGGAAACTATAGACTACATATATTGTAAGGTCTTCTGTTAATGTTAAGTGAATTAAACTAATGAGAATAAAGCCTTTAAACCTAAAAATAACACTTTATATAGATCATCTTTTCTTTACAGAAGATTTTATTTGTATCGCCGTGTTTTATTTATGCTACCACCCATTAAATTAGCCAGCGATAAAATAAACTCAAAATATTTATTAACTCCAATACGTCTAACTAATTAGTTTATTTTGTTAAAGATCCTAACGTATATACACTAACGAACTGAAACCTAAGACACTAAGAAATCAACATTTTCTCAGCCGAACCTAAAACAACTTTTAATTGTCAGATGTCGATCCTCATTACTGCCACATTGTCTTTCGTTAAAGACATAAATATATAATATGTTTGCTGTTGAGTAAGCTACTTTGAAAATTCCCTTCGTATTTGCAAATATTACTTTACTTAGGCTGCGTGTGTTTATTCTACATGTGTTGGCATATCCAACTTGCCTTGTAACAGAGTGAACAAAGTGAAATATCTTTACAAATAGTTTATTTGTACGCTATTTAAAAGCTCTCACTGAGATTGTATCGTTATTTTCTCAGTGTATTTTATGACACTTAGCTGTGACCTAGAATAAGCAGGACGTAGATGGATGGCCGTATAAAAATGTATATATCATGGTATAGGGATGAATTTTTAATAAGTAGTCGTTAATGTATTATATCCATTGTATCAAAATTGTATAAAAAATTTAAATAAAACATTTTAACGGTTTAAAACGCGATATATTAGTTAAACTTATTTGAAAATGATTTTTTCTTCGGCCAGACGTTTCGGATGCTTTTCAACAGCCGTGGTCACGGGGAGACTAATATATCGCGTTTTAAACCGTTAAAGTGTTTTATTTAAATGTGTACTACTCGCGTGAACTATAGACAGTATTTGTATGAAAAATTGTTTTCTTGCATCGTTACGTTATTGATACGGACGTTACAGATAAAACCTATTTGTAATCAAATGAAAATGAATCTTTAACTTATTCCATGTATAATTTAATAAATTGAAAATTTTTCGACTAGGGCGGGACTTGAACCGGCATCGTCAGCGTTCCGTGCTGTTACTCAACCAAATGAGCTACCGAGTCCTATGTACGCAAAAAAATATTCAATGTACGCAAAAAAGTGTGCTCGATGTGTGTGTTTGTGACTGTTGAAGGCAAAAGTAATAAAATCTACGCTTTTTTGTAAACTATACAATGTTAAATATTTCAAGTGCAGGACAAAACATGGATTAAAACGCATAAAATTCATGATCACAGTGAATATTCTATTCGTTTGGGTAATATATTCAAACGTTACGTTACGTCAAAGACAATATTCGATAAAATGAAATAAACATGAAATGTTCCTTTGTGCAGAATAGATTTATAAGCGAAAGGTAAAATGGAAATAAACACTGGACTTTTTCCGTCATATTTTAGCGAAAAATTTCACATGCTAACATATATTTTAAATATTAAAAGAAGAATGGAATGGAATATTGCTTTATCTTGAGTTAAAAATAAGCTTACTTAATATATTACGCGTTTTAAACAGTTTAAAATGTTTCATGGAGAAATTTAATTACAAACCGTCGGGACTCAAACCCACCCTCAAAAACTCAACCTCTCGCGATCATGGAATTGCTTTATTCTATACATAGGTACTTTTCAGAAATGAAATTAGGTACGTAGCTATTTATTTCACACATTATATAAGTTATAAATATTAAATCTAAGAACAATTTTAATAAATCAAAATACCTTTTATAACTCATTTATTTATATTTGAGTTGTCGTTTGTAAATTAATAATCTACTAAGTACTTATTAATAAAGTGTTTCAGAACATTCACTTTGATTTGATAGTAACAATACGCATTTTTATAATAGTAATAGACTGTCAAAAGTTGTAATATTATAACATTCTCATATTGTTATTAATATCTCATCTATATGGAACTCAGCAAAAAGGTTTTAATACCAGATTAAATAAACTTTTCCGTCCGATGTACCCTTGAGTGTTCAATTTCTCAACATTAATCCATTATTCAGAAACCAATTCTTCGAAGTACACAGTCTGAATATATGTCTAATATAACAAGTAAGTAGTCGAATTAGAAAGTTCTTTCAAAGCTGAAAATACGTATAAATGTTACAAATCTATACTAATATGAAGCTAAGCTGAAGAGTTTGTTTGTTTTTTTTGTATGTTTGAACGCACTAATCTCAGCAGAATGTTTGAATTAAAAATTTTGTGTCGATTATACTATTTATTGAAAGGCTATAGGCTAAGTTAAATTATTAATCTCAGCGGTTTCCTCTTCTTTAAATGACATAAAAATATGTCCAAGAACGATTAGACCAGAATAACGGGACCCCAACGAGGGTACCCGAGGAACGACGGGTCACAAGCGACGGGACGCGACCGATGTCGTGGGTAAGCCTATAAAGATGTGGTGTGCAAAAACCAAATTTAGATGCCCTAACAACTATTCTACGCGGACGAAGTGACCCAGCTAGTTATACATACATTTGACTTGTGTTAATTGCAATGAATACACTTAAAACATTTGGGATACACAATGTTTAAAGTACAACTTTGCAGTATAGAAAATATTTGAAATTTTATTAAATTGTTTTGAAAACTGGTAGTAAATTTAATTTAAAACTTATTTGTAACTGTATCTACGTTCACAGGATTTGTTATGTACACCTTAAGAAATATTCCAATGATGTCAAAATAAAGATTTTATTGACTTTAAATTTTGTTAGGAAAGCAAGTAATAAGTCAAGGCAACCAAAATAAGTCAAGGCAACCAAAATTAATTTATCATTACGAATTAGCTTTGCAATTTGAGGGCCTTTGACTGAAAATGAAATGATTCCTTAATACAATTTAGATCGCTATATAACACAAAATAAGCCTCCTTTTCTAATTAATTTTGTCATTCTTTGATATCATTTCGTTAATTGCTTTTAAAGAGATCGAAATTTAATAGCATTAAAAGGAAAATAACGGAGGTCGAAATAACAAATACGTATTGTCAGATGTTAAAAGTTCTCGTGAAAGAAAATCCCCTTGTGTTACTTTTCACTTGTAACAATAAGCAACTGTTACTGTGAAGAAATATCTTACGCTTGTTATTCGAACATTTATTTTAAGAACTGAACTTTTAATAAAGTCTTCCTACGGAAAAAAAAATTAATAAACTTAATTAATTAAAATATTACGAGTAACACTATTATTTATTTGTCCTATAAATATTCATATTTATACAATAGTGAAGTGAAGCCCCGTTTTCTCAACTCCGACACATTTTTGCATCCGTTTCACTGATAAGTTTTCTACACAGGAAAGTGTGACACGGTAGCTTACGGTAACTACGTGGATGGTGGTTCAAGTCCCGCTCGTGTCGTAAAAGTTTTTCAATATTTTATTATTATTTTAATGTACACAGGAAAGTCAGATTAACTATATTTCCCGGGGTTCAAACCAATAACAACGAACGAACGAACAGACAACAATACTAGGCAGTGTCAGCGAAAGGACAAACCAAAGAGTATTATAATTGTGATTGTGTAATTCTTCTTCCATTCGTTCGTTTTAAATTACAAGTTGATTAAAAATTGTCTTCACCGAAGTGTACAGTAGATACAGAAATAATACTCACTCGGATTTATAGCGAAGCCTTCATCAACCGTGTGGAGAGATAAGTGTATCAGGAGCACGAATGCGGTTGACGTCTGAAATATACGAGACTAGATTAGAAATTGTTCTTACGGAACTTTATTAGCACCTTTTATATTCTTTTGACGTTCTTCTGACGCTTATGAAACAAGTTTAACTTAGGTCTTAGGAAAATTCTAATATAAAGGAAACTTCTTAAACAAGAAGTAATATAATGCTACAAAAACGTAGCACTCTATAAATAAAACACTTTAACGGTTTAAAACGCGATATATATTATTTTGCCAATTTACATTTCATTTTAAATACGGCCCCACGTTTCGGATGCTTTGCAGCAGTCGTGGTCACGGGGAGAGACCACGGCCGCTGCAAAGCATTCTCAAATAAGTTTAATTAATATATATCGCGATTATACTGTCAAATTGTTTTATTTAAATGTGTACTACTCGCGTAAATTACAGATAATATTTAGTCTAGTACTCTGTGGAATACAAATATTATGTTACTGTATTAAAAGAAGTTCCATCCCCTTTCCCCCCCCCTTGAGGCATGGGGCGAAAACATTTCTGTGTCCGTTACACTGTTTCCTTTAGGCATGTAGTTGTTTAGACTTCTGTGCATTACTCGACCTAAATAATTTATTGTTTGCCTGGGATTAGTTGGCGTTAAAATGGAAAAGCTTTAATTTTTCTATACTAAACTTGACATTTTAACCAAGTTTTTAAGTGAAAAAGTTATAATAATTATTATTTTTAAAATGACAAGGAAGGACAAATAAGCATGAGATTCAGTTGATGGAAGAGCCATATGACATCTAATTTCATGCGCACTCGGCCTATTAGCGCTTTAAATGTTTAACTCTACGTATCCAAAGCCAAAAGATACGCTCTCCAGCTAGGAGATCTATCATCAAGGATTTTCTTGAGATGTTATTTGGTAGGGGTCCACTAAATAAATCCTGTGCTTGTTTATACTTCTCTATTATAAAAAAGTTCAATTGACACGTCATCTCAATCCAAGTCCCAACCAAGTCGTAAATTAATCTAAATACATTTTCAATCGAAGGTATGCGAGAATATACAATACTAAAGGTACGTTATTCATTCTTTAACGTTTTATTTTAGCGTCCTGAAATACTGAACTCGGCAGTACAAGACACAATCTACTGATTAGAAATTGAACAATTTTTCATTTGCCCCCGCAAGGGTATTAAATAATCTTATAATAAAACCGCAACGCGGTCTCTTTTTAAATCTGCTTAGATATTTAGCCCCCGGAGAGCGCTACGTGACCTGGGCTAATTACGTTTCGCCTGAGTTTTATGAGTTACGGTAACACGTGTCGCGTTTCTACTTTATTTCAAGTTCTGGAATTCTAGAATATGAAGGTGGACGAAGTTAACTTGGACTCTACGTAACTTTAACGTGGCTAGTAGCGGAGGAAGTTAAGTTAATTTCCGGGTTCGAAAAGACGTCTCATCTTTTTTATTATTTAAGCTGTGACCGCGAATTCATCCGCAAGGAGTTTTTTGGGTTAGTTTTTTGGGGCAACATAATGAATCTCCTCAGGAAGAGACTCATGTTCAGGAGTTGAATATTACAAGATTTGAAATGAACAAATTAAGTATATGTTTATACTATACAACGACTGTTTGAAATAATAACTAAGAAAGTTTTGTCCATAGTTTACACGTGCACGCATTTAAATAAAGCATTTTAATCCTGTGCATAGCGATTCAAGTCCTGAATAAACTAGTTAAAGTTAGTAAAAAATAAGTTAAACTCATATATTTAGCGTTTGAAACCATTATAAGTGTTATTTAAAAGTATTAGTTTTCTAAACCAATTTTCAAGTTGAAACAAGATACAAGATACATACTTAGGCAGATAATGTCAAAAATAGCACTGCGAGTTCTTAGAGAATTAAATAACACATCAACACATTTTCCTCTCTATTTATTTTCATGATTGAGTATCGTGACCGACAGTTTATAAAAGCATGTAAGCACATTAATCTTGGGATTGCATTTAATGCAATAAAAGTATCGGTGATTAGTTCGCAGTGTGGGGCTTCAGAAGACCTATAGGTACTGGCACGTTTAATGTAGGTCAGAGTGGCAGCTACTTCGGAATAAAACGTTATACTGAAAAAAATTGCGAGTACTTAACATATTTTTAACATAGATGCGTAGAACATTTTCGCTATGATGAAATCTCTATAGAAAGACTTTCAGGTCATATGACGCAGGTGGCATCAACCGAGCGTAATTCTGCAAATATCTCGGTAATGAGTGTTATGAAAATAACAATAAATACCTTTTACAATTTTTTACCACTATTCAGAAATGTCATAAACGAATATTTTAACCAATAAGGTATTTGAAGCATTTTTCTGTGTAATAAATAAAGAGATATAAAAAATCAGACTGGTTCATACTATATTTTTACGTTAGAAGTTTATTTTAAAGTAATGTTTATAGTTTATACTAGATTTTCATAAATAAAACACTTCTAACGGGTTTAAAGGTAAAATATGTTGGTTGACTTACGTTTAACTTAATTCGGCGTTTCGGATGCTTTGCAAGAGCTATGGTCTCGGGGAAACGTCGGTCCGTAGTTAAATTAATGAAAAATAAACTTATCTATTTCACGTTTTAAACCGTTAAAAGTGTTTTGTAATTGATGTTTATTTTATTTGGCTTACACCTTAAATCATATCATATAATTACAACTTGTGCAGAATGAAAAAAGTATTTTTGCAAAAAAACTTTAGTTGTGAATTGAATGAATTCCTGTGCTAACGAATTAGTTCAAAACTTCTAAAATAGTTGTTCAATCACAAGGTATTTTTTCTGTAAAAAAACCAAACATACGGTCAAAGCTATTCCACACAATCGCTTTAGTTTCAAAGCCATTTCAAATGAAACCAATATGAGGTTCCATTGACCGCGTCAAAGGAAAAAAACCTTTGATAAAGGTGAGCTGAGGACGAACTAAGAGACCGCGATGATCCCATTCCAAGGCTTTTTTCACTTTTTCAATCCCGTTTGAAATAAATTAGAAGTCAACCGCTTGAAAAATATTGCCACTATATACGTAACCATTCTTAATATTACGGATTTTAACAGATTGTTAATTAATGAAATTATCCGAACATGCAAAGACCAAAATAGGTCAAGTGAACAACATGCTGGTCTGTCGTCTGTCATTAAAAAATCTGTTAAAATCGATTTTATGTTGAAAAACGTTTATGACACGGGCAAGACTTGAACCGGCAAAAATAGCGTTCCGTGTTGAACAGGACGGAACGCTGTTCAAGTCATCAAATGTATGAAAAAAAAACAAAATTAATCATTTATTTGAAATAAGATATAATTGTACACAAGAATAAAATCTTTTTAGCACATAAAGTTTTCCGTTCGAGTCTCAGCGGTTGTATAACTATGAACTTAAGAAATAAACGAGTGATGAAGTTTTAAGAAATTGTACGTATAACGACGAATTTACAATTTTCAGAGAAAAAATCTGATTCATAACTTCACTCCTAAGCAAGTGTTTTCAAAATTGATACGTTACGTACTTCGCTTCGGGGATCCCATGAGGACCCACGAGTTCCTGAATTCTTTGACCCTTTGAATAATAGATGACGCTGTAAGTTTTGCGACATTTTCATACTTTATTTATTATTAAGCAATGCAGCATTTCTGGGTCACTTCCTTGAATGAAAATCTTGAAAGAATTACTCTTTAATGGAATATCGGTCAACTGTGAAGAGGTTTTAATTATTTTTCTCTACAGCGATGCTGGTATCTTTGTAATGAGATTATGTTGCGAGATACAGAAATGAAGATAATATTACTTCATGTAAAACTTTTTTTTTTATGTTCATGACGCATCGCAGATAAATTCACACGGCGTTATATTAATCTATATTATAAAGCTATAGTTGTGTTTATACGCGCTCATCTCAAAAAATACCTGAACAAAATTTAAAAATATCGATTTTGAATCGCATATTACATATTATATTGAACATATTAGTCTTGCAAACAACAAAGCAACGTTTGCCTGATCAACTAGAGAGTTAATATATCACTATTCTTTAAAAGAAACAGTTGCCTAGTTAATAAAGCACGTAGGTAAAACGACTTATCTTTATGCCCTGAACAGAGGACTCGACCGTATTCGTAACTCGAAGTTCGCAAACTTCTCGCCTCTAAACCTGCTGAGAATGTAACTTGTGTGATAAATAGATCCTCCAGAACTATGCTTGTAGCTTGCACGAACTTGCTTAAGACCTCAAGATGATTATACGACTGTACTGTGTCAGTCTTTTACATCTGACCGCTTCACTAATGTATCAATTCACATGAAATGATCTACAATATTGAGTAACAAACATGTTAAACGGCTTCAAGCACGAAGAATATTAGTCAACTTTCCTGACCCGACGTTTCGGATGCGTAATAAATAAGTTAATGTTTAAAACTAATTAAAGTATTCCATTTAAAAGTGACATTTGGCATCTCTTTAAAAAAATGGATTAGCTGTTACTTATTATACTCAGTTTCAAATTACTATAAGAAAGTGGAGTCCCATTTCCCGCTCATGGGGCATGGGGCGAACACATTTTTGTGTTCGTTTCATTTATCCGTTCTTTAACAGGCAAGTAGTTGATCAGACTTCTGTGCCCTGTGCCCGCGCTTAACGCAATGTTAGGCGTAGGCTATAGAGGCACTTCGTCAAATTATTATACTCATAATTAAAATTTCTCTGATACACACATTGTTTAGACAATATGCGTAATAGACAAATTACATATTATAGAACTTTCACATATACAGAGAGTTTATACTGTACATATTGTAGAAAACATCGGAAAGTATATTATAAGACAAAAACGTAGGGAGGAAATGACAATGGGCGAGAAATATTGGCAATGCTAGTCGCTCTTAACCTCACAAAGGCCGAGTTTGGAGGACACAAAAGGCTGATCATTTCTAACTCATGATAGAGCAGAAACGGAAATGTGTCTATTAAGCGAAAACTAAAGGATCTGAAATCAAATAGACTTTGAATTTTAGATATAAAGGATTCTATTTGGTGACGTTCTAGTAGTTTTAGAAGACCATTTATTCAGTAATCCTATTTTATAACTAAACATAACTAATACAGAAAAGTCAGTCAATGCCAATTAATAATTATTACGAATAAAATATGATAAAATTATATGAAAAAAACTATAATATAAGTAAAAAAATATACACATAACCATCATACATTCAAAACTGATTTTCAGGGCTCCCAGGTTTGATAAAAAAGGTAACTAAAGACAAACATACTTACATGGAGCTTCATTAAAATTTGTTTCTTGTGAAAATATGGGAGTGTTAAAAGCTTACCAACACTAGTATATTACACAGCCACAAGATGTTACATACAATATTTACAAGTAAATAAAAATAAAAGTGTTTAAATATAATAAAAATTCAATTGAGTGCTTATTAATTATCCTATATAGTTAACATAGATGTTGAAAACCTACGTAGTCTTGACTCCCTTAGTATATTAAAATGTATTTTCCCCCGTGACCACGGCAGCTGCATAACATTCGAAATGTCAGGCCGTAGTTGAAATAAGTTATAAATATGTTAACTAATAAATTTTGCGTTTGAAACCGTTAAAAGTGTTTAATTGAAACTACTAAGTCTCTTACGAAAAACCTCGATGCAAATAAACCCAGAAATGTCGGGGAACTAGCAAATTCGCGGTCTTGTTATGCTAATGTGGAACAGAATTGTTATTTGCGTTGAGTAAACGGAATACAAACTAAAAGACCTGATAAGAAATTGTTAGATTTTAACCGTTTCATACTTTCTATAGTTTACGCGAGTAGTACACATTTAAATAAAACACTTTAACGGTTTAAAACGCGATATATTAGTTCCGTTTCATTTATTTGTAATATTGTCTATACTAATATAAAATGCTGAAGAGTTTGTTTGTTGGAACGCGCTAATCTCAGAAACTACTGATTCGACTTGAAAAATTGTATCAGTGTTAGTTAGAACATTTATCGAGGAATGCTATAAAACATCGCTGTGTCTAATAGAAGCGAAACGACAGTAGGAAATGTGAAAAAAGACGGAGGAAATTAATTATCTCTGTGGGTTTCCCATGCGTACGCAGCGAAAACGGTTCAATGCACGATGTATTAATTTTTTTTTAAATGATGTAAAAAAATGTTCGCGGCACTATAGTCTCTCTTTTAAGATGAACTTACAAGAATGAACAACGGGACGCGACTGATGTCACGGGTTTGCAAAAACAAATTACGTGCAAAAATTGCATTACGTTTTCACGGAAACAAAGTCACTAATAATTGCTAGTTCAAAATAGACTGTCAAAAACTCATTATCTTTGTTATCATTTATAATTCCCTAACAATTTATTAAACAAAATGTACCAGCTTTTCCCTTTAATGTATGTTTATCTTAACATAAGGAAAACAAAGCTGTTTAGGGTTGGTAATATAAACGCCACCTTTTTCCTTAAAACACTTACTTATGGAAGCTACAATTTCACTCTTAAGCCAGGTAACAACTGGTTTTATTATACAAATAAAATCTTTGTGTAGTCAGTTTGGCTGATGGAAAAAAAATCTAGTATAATTGTCTGTAGTTCACGCGAGTATTGTTTGATGTGTAAACTCTTGAAAAGGTCCACCGTGACCACGACTGCTCAAAGCATCCGAAACGTTGATCCGTTGTTAAAATATATACAAGTAAACTAATACATTTCGAAATGACCGCCTCTGTAGCCAAATGGTTAAAGGGGTTCGAATCCCAGGGAACCAAAAAAAACGTTTCGGTCGGGCAGGGCACAGAAGTCTGATCAACTACTTTCCTGTTAAAGAACGGATCAGTGAAACGGACACAGAAATGTGTTCGCCCCATGCCCCACGAGGGGAAAACGTAATTTCACACACAATTCATTTCGCGTTATAAACCACTAAAAGTGTTTTATTTAACAGTGTAGGTACTACTCACGTAAAATTCAGACAATAGTAGGATATAAATATAATTTTTTATCAACCAAAGTGACCAAAAATGATGCGTTTATTTAAATAATTCGAGTATTATGTTTATGTACATTATATTATACGTGACTTGATCATGGGATAAAATCTTGCAAATGCTTGCACGTGCAAAGAAAGTCACGAATTTATCTATTCTACAACAATCTTCTTTTATCTGTCTCCTATACATAAGTAAGCAGCATATAACAAGATATGATTTGGTCTTACATTTTTCATCGCACAAATTTGTCAAAGCCAGATGCGGTACTAGATTTTCCGAGGTAATGGAAAACTATCAGAGTGGTTGGTGTCCCTCAAAATGGCACCGATTTCTCTTATAGAAGTTATAGACGATCTTTATTGAATCCTAATATGATTGTGACTTCAAAAAACATCTTCATGTATGTTTCACTTAACGCATGGTTTGACCTATGAAATTTTTGCTACAGGACTGCAATGGGCGGTCTTATCGCTAACATGCGATCTCTTCTAGGCAAAGTAAAATATAGGAGAAAGAAATAGACAAAAATTAAAGGGGAAAGGTAGGCGACACAACTATTAATTCGTCATTCTTTACAAACAAACAAAATTTATAAAGAGTGTACAAAACTTATAAAAAACATACAGATCTAAAAATAGTTATGTGTTTATTGACGTCAACAGAAAGGCTTAAAAGGTATTTTAAATGTCATGTATCGTATATAAAATTTTACAATACATTTATCTGTATCTTTCATCGCAACAATGACGTAAAAACAAATATAAAAACCTTAAGAATTTTTCACTGTCTAGTTTCTGTAAATATTCCACCATATTATTTACGTAACAATAAAGTTCAAGAAATAACAATTCCACGTTTTCGCTGTCGCTTTGTGCGTAAAAAATACGCACAAAGCGACAAAACCACAAAAAACTATCAGTTCTTATATTCACAGACCCAAATCAAGTCATTCGAGTTGAACATTTCCTCCCCAACACCTCTATATAATCCTCTTATCCTTACGAGATGTCGACAGTTCGTATATAATTTTTAATACCGAAAACGGACCCTTATTGCATTAGACATATGGCTTAGAATACGTTATATAAAATTTGAAATTCCGTTTCAATGTTTCTATTCACGTAGGACGCTGTTCAAGGATCATTGAATGATCGTACATAATGTGCAGACTTTATTAGAAATAGTCAACACGTTTTATTGTATATATGTATTGATATATATTTTGCTTTTCAGAAATTCACGATCATTTCTCATGTTGAGGTGGAATCAAATGTACAAGAAATAAATTTAATGGAAAAATAAATATAAGAAGGATCTTCTCCCAATAAATTAGGGCTTTCACGGCCAACCTTCAGCATATCATTGTTTTACGGGCCGACGCAAACGTTTCGCGATCACATGCGGACGGCATCATCAAGAGATGTAGTTAATAATTCTTCGACCAATCCAGGATCCGCAAAGCCGAAAAGCCCGAAAAACAATGATAATCTCCCCCCCCCCACTTTTATACATCTGACCATTAATTGTTTCATTCCTGGCGATTCGAGGTTTGGAAGACCCGCTCTTACAAGAAAAAATAAGTGGGACA